GGCCGGGAAGAGATCACGAGGCAGTGGAGCAACGTGTCGCTAGAGGGCAGCGAGATGGGGGGAGGGGGGGGGGGCTGACAGAGGGAGGAGGGCTATTCTATTAATTTTTTTTTTTTGCACACAATTGCACCGGAGGGAACTGCCTGGAAAAACGAAACCAACAAAAGCTACCTACTGAATAGTTTCCATGACCCCCCCTTTGGAACGTTTGGTCAGGCGGTCTGATTGAAAATGAGTGGGAGTGGCTTGAAGTCCCTTAGCGCGGGGCTGACTCCCAGTCCTGGGAAAGAGAGGGCGGCTAAAAAATTTTAAAAATCACATCAGCATTTGAAGCACGACGAAGGAGCAGAAAGCCAGACGCCAAGAGTCTCACATGTGCCTGCATCTCAGTCACAGCAGAAGCGCTGGAAGAGGGTGGCTTCCAGGGAAAGCCAGGTCTGCTAAGTCCTTCAGTATCAGCGTGGATGTGGAGGATCTTCCTGTGGCTTTCGGAACTGAAACCCAGGTTTAACCAAAGGTGTTGCAAGCCTTAGCCTACAGAAGAATGTAACCCCATTTGGGCTGGACAGCGTTCATTGTGTTTTTTGTGATAGCATAGTATGGCCGGTTTAAACTACACCCTGCTTTTGACAGAAACAGCACTTGTGATAGACTTTATCAAATGCAACAATGCCCTTCTCCTATTCACCATGGTTTAATCACATTTGTGTACCTACTTGGGCATTTCTGTTTGTCCATTGTTACATGTCAGATTGTCCTACCTCTTGTTTTAGTTGTTTTCCTGTATTATTATGTAATGGTAATCCAGAGGCTTCTATATATGGGCACCAGCAATCTTTGTGGTTGAGGAACGTGTATTTCAGGCTAATGGAGAGACTTTTCTCCAGAAATTTCATGGATGTCTTTTAAGCCCTGTGCCGTGTGAGGGAGGTTTGTTCCCAATGTCCTTCAGGTGGGGTTTGCTCTCTGTGGGGGCAAATAAAGCTATAAGAGGATATCTGTAACAATCATGGGCATAAGTTTGGAGGCTCGTAGGATGGAGCTCCGGAGAACTTCAGTGTGGGAGGTGTTTCCAGATAAAGTCCTGGAGTTATTTCCATGTGTTTCTGCTCAATTATGGGGCCCCCTCAGACATTAAGTGTATTTATCACTCTGCTAAATTGTTGATAATGGCAGTTGGCTATGTTTTTTTTTTTTTTTTTGAGTGACGTGGGTGCAGAGTCAATTTGAGTCGTCTTATTTGGGCGTGGTGTCAGGGAACCAGAAGCAAATTTTCCAGTTCCCATTCATATGCATGTTATATATATGTATGTATGTGTGTGTGTGTTTGATGAATTTAACAACTGAAAAGTGAATTCCACTCAGTCATTGACAGGCATTTAAATATTTTTTTCTGAATTTTTTGCTTTATATATATATATATATATCTCAACCATTTAGCAGAGTAATATATATATTTATGTGTTTTGTGTTCATCGACTGAGTGACTGACCAGATCCCTTTTCTGGTTGTATTCGCCAGGTTCTCCCGTTCGGACGAGTTGTCCCGACACCGGCGATCCCATTCTGGAGTGAAGCCCTACCAGTGTCCTGTCTGTGAGAAGAAGTTTGCCCGAAGCGATCACTTGTCCAAACACATCAAAGTCCACCGCTTTCCTAGAAGTAGCCGGTCAGTTCGCACCATCAACTGACCCATTGGGGATCTCTGGTGGACCAAAGCCAATGGGACAGAGAGCCTTGTGTGTGTGTGTTTGCGTGTGTGTGGTTCTGTGATAACTTATTTTGTTATGGGAAAACATGCAAGAAAAATGCATTTGCATTTGGTACTGTTCCTGAAAGTATGGCAACGTTTGTTTTCTGTCTCATTTGTTTTCTGTTAATGTTTTAAAATATCAGAGTATTTTATTTTTCAAAATAGGTTTTTGTATTCAGTACACGTGATTTTTACCGTGTTGCGAACAACCACATGTTAACATTCCTCACCTTACGTGTCATTTATAGCTGAAGAGGGTGGGCTTTTTTTGAATACCAAACCGCTTTAGCTTCTTTCGTTCTCTGTCTGTTTTGTTGTCCATTCATTGTTACGTGGAAATTATGATTGGGGGGGGGATTTATCATATCACCAGGTGAGAGGAAAGGAGTGTGGCAAGGGGTACAGCTAACCCCCCACCCCAAAAGAAAAATGGTGCAGAGGCAGCCTAATAAGTTGTGATAGACATCAGGGTGATGTCACAATAAGCTAACAAGGATGTGAGGAGTTCTCATGGCAGGAAGGAAGCTTCTACTGCCAGCAGCAGCAAAGACACGGCGCACTGATAACCCATGAAGGTGGCCTGACACACTTACTGAAGCACAGCACACACAAGATTTTATATGTTTATACCTAAACCGCTAAGCCTTCTGATCAGTATTGAATGACTAATCGTTTTTTTTTTTTTTGAGTGTGTGTGCGTGTGTGACAAACTCTTTTTGACTTTAGTGTCAGTGGCTTTTAAGCTGAAATTTGAGAAAAACAGAAATGATATAAGATTAGCCTTAATGTACTTCATTATTCTTATTTGGGGCTCAATAACTCAATGGTCTGGATGATTTTTCTATAGTAAATATATGTTAAAGTGGAAAAACACTAAAATAATATGTATACTCCGTGACCAGGAACACATACACATACGCCATAAGATATATAGACATGAATGTTATGATGATTATTATTATTATTATTTATAGGGGCTGTTAAACCAACGTTCACTCCAGGTGAACGTTGAGATGGCATTCCTCATGACATTTCTGTCTCTGTTTGTGTGTGTGTGTGTGTATGTATGTGTACGTATACATATAGATGTACATACAATCTGTATTGTTTTCTCTGAGTATTTCATGAAATTGGAAAATAAGCAAATACTTAAGGTTACTGTCTTATTGGCTAGCTCTGCTGACACATGATCTGCCTCAGTAAAAGCTCATTACTGGAATGCCCATCAATTTTTTTTTCGTTCGTTTATTTGTTTATTTTGTTCATTTCTTTGTAACATATGCGGCTATGTTATCGTCTGCTGCAGATGTGAAACTGGAAAGTGTGTGGTGCTGNCCCAACACTTCCGCCTCCTGGCGTAATGTAACCAGGACAATAGCTGAGGAAAGAACATTAAGTCTTTCTGTTGTCGTGCGGCGTGCCGCTGCAAACAGGACACTTCTTCCAGCTTCCAGTACTGCACTCTCAACCGGGAACACAGGTGGATGCAGAGTACAGTGTACACTGTCCACGCGTCTCATCCTGTAAAACATCTCGGAAGAAGTCAGAGGGAGGCGATGCTACCGCAGTGCATTCCTGCAGTTTCAGCTGGACACTGTAAATCTCGTGTAAAACTGGTGTTTATCACACTCTATGAATGTATGTAAATAGAACAAACTGTAAATAAGTGCATCTATATGAGACAAAACTATTATTGTAATAACATCTTAATTCCATGATTGTGAAAATATATAAATATATCTATATTTTTTTGCTTTACATACAATACATTTCCAAATAAAAGGGAAAATACACATTTTCATGTGTGTCTACAGTTACTGACGTCATTCAGAAACAGCACCAACTGATGATGAATGGTCAATGAGTATTAGTAAAACATTATTAGAATACTGTAGCGTTACTGGGAATGTGCAAAGATGTAATGTACACTATAGAAAAAAACGATCAAGGGGATCAATTCTGACAGTCGCCCGAGGTTGGGATAATGAACAGTTCATTGTATGCCGCCAATACTACAGTATGTAATACACTTTACGTAGGAAAAGATCTGAGAAGTTTCCACACAATAGTGGTCGTATTGTTTGATTATGATTTCACAAGAAAATCACGCTATGCCGTGGGCAGGGAATTGAACGTTCTCTGAGGAAACTCACGCTTGTTTCTCAATTTGACCTAAAACTCACAACCTATCTTTGCTGGGAGCTGTTCTTATTCATGTTTATATAACTGTCCAGATACATGGATGCATTCTCTAACCCCTTATCCAGTCAAGGCATGGCTGCATCAGACTAGTCCATCGCAGGACACACACACAATCGCACACCATGGGCAGAGATGTCATTTCAGCCATACGCATGTCTTTGAACTGCTGGAGGAAGCTGGAAACTCTTATAACACGGGAAGAGCTCTGTATCTGCACGTTTCCTCAACTGGGCCTGGATTCAAAGCCCTAACCTTGGAGGTATGTGGTGAACATACCACCTCTGATGCATTTGGTTTATATGTAATATTTATATAAAAAAGCAGCACTCCCCATCACTCTGCTATTTCTGCTTAATTCTTCATTCTATGAGAAGGTAAACATGTGAGACGCCGCTGACTGTAAACTCTGGGAATGAGCCAAGCCTCAGCTGTCATCCAGCTCTCAGCAAACATGCCTGGCGCTCGCTGGATTCTCACCATGGTAAACACCAGCAAGGAAAATAACTTTCTTGCTAGTTCTGGTCAGTTCTCCTTTAAACTGCTGATAAATCACATGCATTTCCACTGTGTACCGTGTCTCTCCCTTACCGCTTCGAGAGGTAAACACCAGGCTGTTATTCCTGCAGAATTCTCTGCTGCAGAAGCCTGTGCTTAAATTAATTAGCAAGCCCTTCAGGGCTCTGAAACATCTTATGTTGGTTTCTTTCTTTAAACTAAATCAGAGGTGCCTGCAGTGGCTACGGAGGGGCTCTGCATTAATCTGGAGGCCAAGATGTACTCCATATGGAACCAATTTCAGTAGGAAGTAGAGTGCTTCTTTTCAGATGTCAGCTTTATTCCTATCTATGGAACGGTTCCCTTTGCTGCTGAGTCATCCAGGAAAAGGAGAGTAAAAGCCCAAATGCAGTTATGCATGAGGTGTTTGGGGGGAGGGGGGGGGTAAATGGTCCAATTTTAAAACATGCCATCTTCGCGACAGTAGGGGGGGGGGGGGGGGGG